TTCACATGGCAGAGCTCTGGTGGTATAGTGGTTAGAGTATTCAACTACTGACCAAAAGGTTGGCAGTTCAAGCCCACCAGCCGCTCCATGGGAGAAAGATGAGGCAATCTGCTTCTGTAAAGATTGACATCCTTGGAATCCCTATGGGGTGGTTCCACTCTGTCCTATAGTGTCCCTATGATTGGAATTGACTCATTGGCAGGTGCGTAGTTGGGTGGGATTCATGTGCCTGCCTGGCCTTGCTGGACCTGGCTGACTTCTACCTTACCAGCTCCCTTGGCTCTCTGGGCAGAGGGATGACACTGTCTCCCATGTCTGGTCCTGCCCAGTGGACTGTCACTCAAACTCTGAACCTTGGGCTCTTTGCAATTTCCAGAGGTGAATTCATTGTGGGGTGTGGCACTTCTGAAATAGACTCTGGTCAGTACAGCTAGCTCTAATTTTTTTAGACAAAAGACTAGCATTTGCATATGTGTGGCTAAGTACCCAAATTTTTATAAAAGATTGTATGAGCTATAAAGAGTCATCCCCATAGCATGCAGGCAGTTTGAAGATGAGGCTAAATTAGGTCAGGAGTGGATGGAAGATACCTGAAGATGTAATTGCAGTTTGTTCTAGGTTTTGCTTGCTTGCACTGAGATGTATGTAGCCTTGCAGCTTTGTATATTTTCTCTCTCTCTCTCACTCTCTCACTCGCTCTCGCTCTCTCTCGCTCGTGCTCTCTCTCTGTCCCTCACAAGGTGCTCTCTCTGGGACCAAAAGGACTTGGTTCATGTTTGTCCTTATCAGAAAAGTCATACTTCTTTTTGGAACTAATATAGAACAGTGGTTTCTCAACCAGGTCTGATTTTGTCTCCCAGGAGAATTTGGCTCTGGTGAGATAGTGCCTAAGGCATTTGACTGCTAAGCAGAAGGCTAGTGGTTCAAGCCCAGCAGCCACTCCTGAGAAGGAAGGCTGGGCAATCTACTTCCATAGACATACCACCTCAAAAACCCAAGGAGGGATCACTATGAGTCTGAAAACCACTTGAGGGCAGTGAGTTTTAGTGAGGAGACCTTTTTGGTTGTTGTTGGGGGGGGGGGGCAGTGCTGCTGCTATCTAATGGATAGAGATAAGGGATAACCCAATAAATATTATAATGCAGAGGATAGCCCCAAAAACAAAGAATTATGAAGCTCAAAGTGTCCATAAGGCCAAGGTTGAGAAATCCTGATATAGAATAACATTGTCAATTGAAAGCTCTCTGGCTCCTGACCCCAGTGGAAGTTATCTTAGTCATTCTCTCGTTATCATGGAAGGTGAAGTGGCCAGTCAAAATGATGGACCGATTCCTGACACAGGAGCATTTTTCTAAAGATTACATACAGTGCTGCAGGTTTCTGTAAAGGTCATGAAGGTGTTTCAGTGCACTGTTGGAAAACATTGATTCAGGGCTGTAGTGGTCACTACAGAGGTGAAATGGACCTCACCCCAAATTTGGCTTGGATATTTACATGGATCACACCATACAGACCAGCATGGTAGGAAAAGGTTTCTCACTCACACCATTAGGCTTTCGCGGATAGCAGGGCAGCTCCCACACATACCTTGAGAGACTGAGGAAAGGAGACTAGCTTGGGGCTTTGGTGGTGGTTACAAGGCCCCAGGGCAAAGGCTCCTGCATGTGTCCATGGAGTCATATGGCTTGAAACTCTTGTCTCAGGGCCAGCAACTGGGCTTTTGTATCTTTTTGCTCAGATGCGGGACAAAGAAAGAAGAAGGGGTGAGGTATAAATGTTGTGAGCAAAAATCAAAAACCAAACTCACTGCCATGGAGTCAGGTCTGACTCATAGTGACCCCTCCTTGGGTTTCCGAGGCAGTATCTCTGCAGAAGTAGATTGCCCAACCTTCCTTCCGAGGAGCAGCTGGTGTGTTTGAACTGCCAGCCTTCTGGTTAGCAGTCAAGTGCCCTAGGCACTACATCATCAAAGCTCAGTCATGTTAAATTGGAATCTGTCCCTTTGTTATGAGGAGTCACCCGGTGACAGTACAAGCATCATGGCCTGGAGAAGTTGACAGTGGCCTCGAGGCCTCAATGATGGTGACACCCAGACTGCAGGCCATAGACTTGTTTGTTGCTACATCAGAAACACTCCCTCTTCTTAGCACCCACCCATTCCCACCTCCCCACTTTGCCCCCACTCTGGGAGGTAGTGCAGTCTGTTGTTGTTGTTGCTGTTATTAGGTGTCGTCAAGTCATTTCTGACTCATAGCAACTCTATGCACAGCTGAAGGAAACACCGCAGGATCCCACACCAGCTCCATGATCTTCTACAGGGATCCAGGCGAGGGGAGGGAACCCAGGCCACACCCGAAAGCAGCAAGGTGGGAAAGCGGGGTAAAGGACAGAAAAAGGTGAGGGGGACAGGGACAGAGTGAGGAGTCAGCCGCAGGGATCCAGGTAAGGAGCAGTTGGAGAGGTTTCGAACAGCTAAGGAAGACAAACTTGTCTGTCGGTTTGTCCTACTGTGGTGACATGTTGCTGTGAGTCTTGAGGCTGTGCCACCAGTGTTTCTAATCCAGTGGGGTGCACCTAGTACACAGGCATCAGCACAGCTTGCAGACTGAAACAGACTAGGGAGAAGGAAGAGGTCATCCACTTCTCAAAGAATTGGCCAGGGAAAACCTTATGAATAGCAGAGTGCAGTCTAGTGGTGAGCAACTCATGGGCCAGCATCAGACAGCTAGCTGTAGCTCCCAATTGCCAGCCCCTTTCACAGCAATGACCTTGAACAAGCTGATTATCCTCTCAAGGCTCTTTTCTTCAAGATGGAGATTATAATAACTTTGTTATACATTCTTTGTAGGAAATTAAATAAGTTAATGGATAAAAATCTCAAGAAGCCCTGGTGGTGCAGTTGTTAAGCCCACAGCTGCAAACCAAGAGGTTGGCACTTCAAACCCACCCAGTGGCTTCACAGGAAGAAGGCCTGGTGATCTGCTTCCATAGAGATTACAGCCAAGAAAACCCTCTGGAGCAGGTCTGCCCCATCACGTGGGGTTGCCATGGGTGACAGTCAGCTCCGTGTCATCTAACCACAGCAACATGAAAACTGCCTAGCCCTGGGATACTCATTCAGTCGCTTACTTTTGGTTCAGAAGACAGTTAAGACTCTTGGGTTATGACTTTATTTCATGTACATGTGTATGTTTATTTATTTATTTTTAACTTTGCTGTGGGTGTCCTAGAGGTAAGGAGCCCTAGTGACACAGTGGTTTAGTGTTTACCTGCTAGCTGGAAGGTTAATGGATTGAACCCATCAGCCATCCCTCAAGAGACAGACCTGGGAATCTACTTCAGTAAAGATTTACAACCTTACCCTATGGGAAAGTTCTTCTCTGTTCTCAAAGGTCACTATGAGTTGAAATTGACTTGATGAGTGGATTTGGTTGTTGTTCAATCTCAAGGTTGACTACATCATCTCTCACTATAAAGATTGTTCCACCAGCTGGCACATTGACCAGTTGGTACCTATTATGGGTGCCAGCCCTCTCCTCCAT